CCCCCCCCCACACTCTGTCCCTCTCAAAAATAAACAAACGTTAAAAAAAAATTTTTTTTAAAGAAATACAGTCACTAAATATATGAAATACTCAACCTTCATTAGTAATCAGAAAAAATACAAATTAGTAGCAATATAAAATATTCATATTCACTAGAATTTCTACTCTAATTCCTAATTTTCATGAAAAATAGGTATGATTCTTGTTTTAGAAATAGGAAAACTTGAGGTTCATTCAGAGACTGCTTTACCTAAGACTCAGTAATAGAGGTAAGATGTCTAACTCAGGAGCATTTGGTTCCAAAGTCTAATCTCTTAAAAGCTTGCTGCCTCAATAATCAATTTAAATAGTGTTTAAAGTCATTATTCACCCATTTGCTAATGAAGAAGAGCAATGCCCACTTGCAGAGAGGGCAGAAAAGAGAAAAATACTCAAATGAAGGAATAGGGCAAATTGTGACGAAATCCACAGTGCCCTAGCCATCTCCATGTCCATTCATTTTGTTTCTGTGCTTTCTGCCTACAAAAGCTTAGCTTTATCTTGAGAAAGAATGATTCTGTCTTCACTACAGATTTAATTTGTAACTTAATCAGAACATCATGTTCACATTTTTATCACTGTATCTTTTAAATTAAATTGTTTTCTATTGTGCTCAAGTTTTCAAGATCTATATTTTAGCTTTGTACATTTCAATGTAAAAACTAAAAAACAAAAAACAAAACAAAACAAAAAAAACCCAAAACACAAAAACCTTCCACTTAACATCCAAGTAAAGATATAAAAAGTCTATGTTCCCATCAGGTCCATAAAAAAAAGAATCTATACACTGAGGACTCCTGAATTTATCTCTTCCTGAACTAAACTCACACGTCCAATTGCCTGACTTCTACTAGCCTCTACTTTTTAACAGGCATCTCAAATTTATCCAGAGCATAATTCTTGATTCTGTTTATCCTCCAAACCTACCACTCACTATTGTCCTCCACCACTTTCTCAGGCCAAAAACTTCAGATATATTCTTTTATTTTTCTCTTCCTTAAACACTTCACACCTGATTTATTTGTGAGATCTTTATAGTTTACCCTCAGAATTTATCTTGAATCTTTTTACTTCTTCCCACTTCTACAACTATCACCCTATTCTAAGCCACCATTACCTGTCCACTGGATCACAGCAACAGATTTTTACCTAGTCTCCAGACTTACTGTCTTGCTCTTTGCTTGTTTAGAATTCATTCTCTACACAGAAACCTGAATAATCTTTGTAAATCATGAATCAGATCTGCGCCACACAGAAATATCCTCAATGCTTTCCATTATACTTGAATCCCATGGCATACGAACTGAAAAGTGTCTGGCCTCTGCTTACCTTTACAATCTCATTATCTACTACTCTCCTTAGTCACTTGGCTACTTGGCTCCAGCTAGAATGGCCTTCGTGGTATTCCTTAAAACATGCCATTTTGCTCCAGTGTCTGGGTCTTTCTATCTCTTGTTCTCTCAACCTGGAAAACTCCTACTGCAGAGGTTCACATTATTGACCCCTCTCTACGTGTTGTCTGTGCTCTAATGCCCTATCTTCAACAAAGCTCTTCATCATGCCTATGAAATTGATCAATTCTTTTATTTTTTTGGTTAGTGTGCACTCTGCCACGATTATACTCTATCACTTTATCATACATGATTTTCACTGTTGCTCTTATCACTATCTGAAATTATATCATTTGTTTATTGTCTGCCTTCTACAGGAGACCATTAAGTTCCATAAGAGAATGGAGTTTTATCTGCCTTATATTTCCATAAATCCTCAAGTCCTCGTATGGTTCTGACATAATGAAGGTGTTCAATAGAGTCTTGCTGAATGAACCAATCAACAAATTTTATACCTTTATCAAACTTTATTATCATAAAGTAAATGGCAGCTCCTTTGGTTACTAAATCCAAGATCCACTTAATTCCTAAAAATTACTATTAAAATTAAAGATGTATGGTATAGATGTAGGAAGAGACAAATTGACCTAAAGAACAAAACAGAGAGATCTCATAATCAAACCCATGCATACGCTGAGCCTAGATATACAACAGAAGTAGGGACTACCTCCATTAATGATACTAGGAAAATTAAGTATTGGAAAATCAGGTCCCTACCCTCATACCATGCACAAAGAACAGTCTTAGGAAAATTAAAGACATCACTGTAAAAAGCAAAACTTAAAACCTTTTAGAAGAAAATATAAAAGAAAATATCTTTATAAACTTGGGATAGGGAATGATTCCTTTAAAAAGACACAACAAAGCACTAACCAAAAATAAAGAACTGATAAATTCTACTATATTAAAATTAAGATTTTAATCAAAAGGTACCATAAAAAGTTAGAAAGAAAAACAGGATATTTGCAACATATATAATTAACAAAGGGTTAGTATCCAGAATATGTTAAGAAAGATAACAAGCCTATAAGTCAATTAGAAAAAGACCAACAACACAGTAGAGAAATGTAGGGATACATCAAAAAGAATAAAATACCTAGGAATACATTTAATCAAGAGGTGAAAGACATGTACAATGAAAACTATAAGACAGTGACAGAAGAAACTGAAAACACAAATAAATGGAAAGACAGTCCATTCTCATGGATTGGAACAATTAATATTGTTAAAATGTCCATACCACCTACAGCAACCTACAGATTCGATGCAGCCCCTATGAAAATTCCAATGGCATTTTTCACAGAATTAGAACAAAAAATTCTAAAATTTGTGTGAAACCACAAAAGACTCTGAATAACCAAAATAATCTTGAAAAAGAAGAACAAAGCTGAAGGCATCATGTTCCCTGGTTTCAAACTACAAAACAGAGCTACAACAATCAAAACAGCATGGTGAACACACGTAAATTAATAAAACTGAATAGAGGGCCCATAAGTATACCTATGCATATATGGTCATATTAATTTGGGACAAAAAAGTCAAGAATATACAAGAAAATGGCAGTCTCTTCAATAAATGGTGCTGGGAAAACTGGACATCCATATGCAAAAGAAAGAAACTGAACCACTGTCTTACATCATATATAAAAATTAACTCAAAATTAATCAAAGACTTGAATATAAGACCTAAAACCCTAAAACTCCAAAAAGAAAACACAGGCAGTAAGCATCAGACTTGCTGATGGTTTTCTGGACCTGACACCAAAAGCAGAGGCAACAAAAACAAAAATAAACAAGAAGGACTACATTCAAACTTTTTAAAAAGCTTCTGCACCACAAAGGAAACCATCAACAAAAGGAAAAGACAACCTCCTGAATGGGAGAAAATATTTACAAGTCATATATCTGATAAGGGGTTCATGTCCAAAATACACTAAGAGCTCATATAACTCAACAGCAAAAAAAAATAAGCAATCTGACTTAAAAATGGGCAGAAGATCTGAATAAACACTTTTCCAAAGACAGAATGGCCACCAGGTATATGGAAAGATGCTAAACATCACTAATCATCAGGGAAATGGAAATCAAAACCACAATGAGCTATTATCCCCTCACACCTGTTAGAATGGCTATTATCAAAAAGAAAGGAAATAACAAGCATTGGCAAGGATATGGAGAAACATGACTCCCTGTGCACAGTCAGTAGGAATGTAACTTGGTGTAGCCAATTCACCACTGCGGAAAACAGTATGGAGAGTCCTCAAAAAGTTAAAAGAAAGAACCACAGGATCCAGCAATTCCAGTTCTGTGTATTTTCCTGAAGAAAATGAAAACACAAATCTGGAAAGATATATGCACCCCTATGTTCACCATAGAATTACTTACAGCAGCCAAGACATGGAAACAACCTAAGTGTCCAGTGACAAATGAATGGAATACTCAGCCGTAAAAAAAGAATGAAATTTTTGCCATTTATGACATGGATGGACCTTGAGGGCATTATGGTGAGTGAAATAAGTCAGACAGAGAACGTCAAATACTGTATTATCCAAGTTGAAAAACCAAGTTCATAGATACACAGACTGGTGGTTGCCAGAAGCAGGGTGGTAGTGAGTGGGAAAAATGGGTGAAGGGAATCAAAGGTTACAAACTTTCAATTATAGATAAATAAGTCATATTAATGCAATGTACAGAATGATGATTAATAATACTATACTGCATATTTGAAAGTTGTTAAGAGAATAAATCTTGAAAAGTCCTCATCATAAAAAAAATTCTGTAACTATGTGTGATGATGGATATTAATTAGACTTACTGTGGTGATCATTTTGTAATATATACAAATACTGAATCATCACTGCATACCTGAAACTAACATAAATTTGTATGTCAATTGTGTCTCAATAAAAAAAATTTTTTTTAATTAAAGAAAAAGAAAAATGGGGCAGGGACCTGAACAGTGAATTCATGGAAGAAAAAATGCAAATGGCCAATAAATGTATAAAAAAGATGTTTATCCTCTTGGTAACCAGGAAAATACAAATCAAGATCCCAATGAAATAAATATTTTACACTCAGTAAA